TGAGAATCTGCACTAACGTATTCAATGCATTTAATTGATTATTTGTCAATTAATTAAAAGCATAAGTCTAATATTCTAATAGTATTCGAAATGGTGTGCTACGGCGCACAAAAAGATCATTTCGAAAGTTCGTTTAGAATACAAAGATAAACGTTCACAATCTAGATGGAAATTGACTAACCATTGGTAAAAGATTGTAGCACAATATTTAAGTGATTGGTCTTGATCACAGTAAACATCGAATAACTTTTGTAGTTATTGTTTTGACTTATTGTGCTAGCACACCCGGCATGTGTTGAACCGGACAAAGTGAAATAATTGTTTCATCACTGTTCAAAATAAAACTGTATTATTTCTAGTTGACAGTAAATTACTTACTCTCTTAATCCCTAGATAATTAACGTACATATTTAATTGATGATCTCTACTTTGATGTCACAATGGGAGAGATTCCTATATTGAGTCAAATGGCCCCCGGTGCGTTGGGTAGAGACATTAAGAATTAATAGGTGGAAATTAATTATCGAAAGGAATCCACATCTCTGAAATATGAGATTGATAATAACCCTTGAGTAGCTTATAAGATTTGTTTATGCCAAGTCCTGGCCAGATGGATTTCGTATTCGGCATACTCAAATAAATTAAGCGGATAAGACTCATGAAAATAAACCATTTAATTTATTTAGCAGTGAATAAATTATTTGGTGGTTATAAGATATCTTAATGTGGGGAGAATCTAAGTAATGATCAACCGGAGCTCGAATGTAATATTTGAGAATATAAACGGGAGTTCATTAATTATTTGGTAGTGGAAAATAAATAATTATTTAATGATTAATTAAATGAATTCTTTTAAGAATTTGGATTTAATTAATTATTAGTTGCCCGATTTATATTTTCTCCTTTAGTCCCTATTGTAGCCCAATGGATTTTCTAATTAATCGAGAAAATAAAGTTCAACCAATATTATATATTGGAATTAATATAGCCGAAAATTAAGTCCTCATTCGATTGCAATTTTCGACTATATAGAGTTATAGAAGGAGTGGGATTTGTTTCCATATAATCCTCTCTATGTGTGACTTTAATTCTTTGTGCTATATATAATAGAGATTGAGTTGATGAGAGAGATGAATTTTTACACACGCCTATTCACGTTGGAGAAGAAAATATTTTTCTCTTCTTCTTTTCTCTCTAAGTTTCTCGATTATAGATTTAGATTTCTTCTAAGTACAAGTCCACCATTGTAGAAGAATTATTAATCCGGAATATACAATAGAAGATTATAGGTTTTTTAGAGCAAACTATAATTCCCGAATTTTCTGAGCAGTCCTGCGAAGAAAATCACCATAAATCAACCGTTAGTCGGATAGGCTCGAAATTTATACAGCCGTTTCCTAACCCTTAGATCTACAATCCGTCCAAAGGGTTTCTCGATCAGTTCAACAGTCGCGGAGATATCGGTGAAGGAAGAGGACTGGAAATTTCTGGACAGCAGCTTTTACTAAGGTTGAAGCCTTGACGTGGATCCTCGTTCGTGCGCCGAAGATAGAAACGAATCTGCTCGCGAAAACTGTAAGTTGCTAGATTAGATTTATTCCGCTTTAAACGAATCTAATCAAAGCATATTAATAAAATCAAAACCGGCTAATCTAGAACCTCTTGCGAATTTTCATTGAATCATGGGCTTCACTAACCAACAGAGACCACATGTGTTCTAAACTTATATGAGATATGTACTAATCACCATTAATTTTCTAAGATTAAATCTGGACCTTAGGAAAATAACATGGCCTATGTTCTAAAAATGAAGTACTTTACCAAATTATCCTTCGATTTTTTTTTATTAAATTAATATCAAATTAATTAACATTGAATTGTCTAATTTACCCCCCACTATATTTTAATTAAATAATTAATTTAAATTCATTGTGACCGAGTTTTATTTGATAAATAATCGAAAAAAAATGCATTCTTTAGGGAAAGAACTTGGGACATCTTAATACATTCATCACTCATAACCATCCAAGCACATTAACTTATTATGATATATTTAACCATAATTGTATAAATACTGTTAATCAAAATATTAATTGCAACATTCATTATTATTAAATGATATTAAATAAATTATTAACAAATGTAATATAATAAAGTTTGAAAAATATAAAGAATTGCAGTTCAATACGTCAAACATCTATCATTAATTATATAATATTAGAATTATTAATAAACTCCACCATTTAAAAATGTAAAGAATGCTCAATTAAATATAAAAAAATGAATAACTTAATTCAAACTCACTTATGTTATTAAATCGATAGTGTGACAAATCCAAATAAAAAATAAAATAATATGTTTATTTAGAAGAAGAAAAATTTATAACTCATTCCAATTGGTAGTTTTCTCACTTTAAAATAAAATTATATACTACAAATACTATATTGTGAATTTTCTTTTAATATTTAATTTAATCAAATAGTAAAATTTGAATCGATTAAGTTCAAATCCTTTCAATAAGTAAACATTATTCAAATATTTGAATCGGTTGCTTAACTATTGACATAACGTGTTACATACTTGATTTAACTATTTATAAGTAATGTCTAATATCTTTTTAATTTAATCTTGTCATCAAAACATAATAAATTTAATTCCTAAAACATGTAAGAACCTAATCGTAAATTGTAATATTTTATAAAAGCGTAATATTGAACAATTTTAAGCTCAAGTCCTTCCAATTTGTAAACATTATTCAAATATTTGAATCGATTAATTAGCGCGCTCAACTATTGACAAGAACGTCTTAATCAAATTAACTATTATTAATTAAAGTGTAATACATTTTTAATTCAATTTTATCATAAAAAAATAATTCATAAATTACGTAAGAATCAAATCATAAGATTAATTAAAGCGTATGATTTGAATCAATTAAGCGCAAGTCCTTTTAATTTGTAAATATTATTCAAAAATTTGAATCGATTAAGTTCAACCACTGACAAGAACGTATTAATCGAGTTAACTATTTATAATTAAAGTCTACTATCTTTTTAATTCAATTTTAACAAAAAAATAATAATTTAATTCGTAAAATCGTAAGAATCAAATCGTAAATCGTAAGATTTAATCTAACCATGAACCGATTAAATCTTACGATTTTTACGAATTAAACTTTATTATTTTTTATGATAAAATTCAATAAAAAAAGATACTAAACTTTAACTATACATAGTTTGATTAATACGCTATTGTAAATTATTGAATTTAACCGATTCAAATATTTGAATATTGTCTACGAATTGAAATGAGTTGAGCTTAATCGATCAAATCTTTGAATATTGTTTTTGAATTGAAAACACATGAGTTTAATTGATTCAAATATTACGATTTAATTAAATCTTACAATTTACGATTCAATTCAAACTTCAAATTCTTTCGAAATTCATTTTTAAATTACACGAGTTGATCAGCATTTCCTTAGATTTTTAAAATATATTATATAAAGATTTGTTAGTATGGGATATTATTAATATATAATAATAGTTATATGAGAATTAATAATTTATTTAACATTATTTATATAAGTTTTATAACCATTATAAATTGTTTTATTATGATATATATCCGTATTGTTAGTTTATTGTCAATTATGTGTTGTGTCTTAATGGTAAGTATTCTTGTATGTTTTCAGATGGTCACAAGTTCGAATTTAGGTTGATGCAATTTTGGATGGGTGGTTTAATGATTTTTATGAATAATGATATAATTGACTTTATAAATTTTAATTCAGCAATAAATATAGATTTAAAATTGCATTAAAATAGAGAGGGTAAAATTGACATTTCATTAATAATTTATAATTGCCGATTTTTTTAAAATAATTATTGTACAAAGGGTATTTGCGACAATACATAAATGAGGAAAAAATAGGTTTTTTTGCTGGGACACGTGTCGCAATTTGAATGGGGTATCTCATATAAGTTTAGAACACAGGAGCTCATGGTAGAAACACCCATATATATATATATATATCAATACAACAAATATACATGGAATATACCAGCCGAATAGCTTATAATAAGATTCATGAGAAAACTATGAAGCACGGACACTTCTAGGACATGAGGTATCCGCGTTTCAGACATTCGGACACTCGGATACTAGCGGATACTCCTCGGACATCCGTGTCGGGCCGTGTTCGTAAATTTACCTAAATAGGACACGCGTAGCGAGCCGTATCTATAATTTTGAAAAACATAAGACACACGTATCCTAATTCCTAACTTGGAAACTTCTTTCAAAAACTTTCTGAATGAGAGCTTCTTAGTGACTCTCATTTTTCATCACTAACCGGCGCCACTTTTTATAAAATATTGAAAACATTACAATTTTAAATTGAAATAAACAAAAGATTAAAATTTCTAAAAGGATTATTTATATATAAGTATTTTTACAATTTATAAATGTACCCCAATATTTTTTATAATATTAAAATACACGTATCCCCTGCGCACCCATATCCTAGTTTTTTTAAAATGTCGTATCGCCGTATCCATATCCGCGTACCGCTGTGTCCGCGTTTCCGTATCCGTGCATCAGAGAAAATGTTAAGGGCCTTCCAAGGGGATGCGGATCAACTTAAAAGCCCACTTAAAGTTTGCAAGGTGAGCCACTTAATTAACAATTTAAATTCTTAATATTTCTTTTTTTCTAGTTTTCCATTTTGTTTTAGTAAAATTGAACATGCCATCAAAATTTAATGATCACATCATATAGAAGTGTGGAAATTAATAAAAATTTAAATAAACTATGACGTCATTTGATTACTAATTACTTAATTAGTTAGCAAATATGTGTATCATTGTATATAGTAGAAAAGAAAAAAGAAAAAAGACCATTTTTTAAATTAGGCGGGAACATAGAACCAAAAACACCCAAAAGAAAAAGAAAAACTAAATTAAGAAGAATCCTCTGTACCTTCTATATGGGATTATTCGAATTCATATATTGAATATTTCTATTTATTTATTTATTTATTTTCGCCATATTGGTTGAAATTACATTCATACCCCTGGTTTACTTCCCCGATTGGTCGTCGTCGTCATTGTAATCAAGAAGCTCTTCGAGCAACTTATCGTCAAAGTACTCGAACTCGATCACTTCCCTCTTCGAGCCCGAAGCGGCGGCGAAGTGGGACGACGTGCTTGGCAAGTTGTACTCTCCGGGGAAGTTGAGAATCGCCAGGTGGCCCCGCATGGCGTACGCCGCCCTGTCGTACGCCCTTGCCGCCTCCTCCGCCGAGCCGAACGTCCCCAGCCACACTCTCGCGCCATGCCTCGCGGAGTCGCGTATCTCCGCCGCGTACTTCCCCCACGGCCGCTTTCTGACGCCTCTGTACTTTATCTCTCCGCCGCTGCCGCCGCCGCCGCTCTTCGTTGACGATGATTGGTTGTACTTGTCCATGTTGGAAAAAAATTCAGGTTTTTTTTTTATTTTTTTTTTTTATTTTTGGGTTTTTGTGTGTTGTTAATTTTTATTTTTATTTTTGTTGTAATAAGTCAGGTGGTGGTACTTTTATATGTGGCGAAATGGAGGGTCCAGAATCTGCCACGTGGACGGTCATGCGGTGGGGAAGAAGCACCACGTGGATAGAACCTTCCATGTAGACCAAAACTTAGTGTGCATTGTATCTGGGCTGGTCAATGTGTGGTGGCTTTTGGGACAATTACTTTTGTATTTAATTTTGGGATTTAATTAGTAATTTTGATTGAAACTATTTTATTAATTATGATGGAAAAAAAAAAGAATCAAATGAGGTGTTTGTTTTAAAAACAAAAAAGGATTCGCACGTGCAAAAATTAGTTGAGAGAAATGGTCTAGATTGATGTGAGGTCATGTTGCTGACGTCATGTCTGACATAATCAAAATTGGGAGTTCTTGCATTAGCATATCTTTTTCCATAATAATGGTAAAAGTTAATTATTTGAAATGGACTATGTTTCCCGTGGGGTGGTTTATCGATTCGAGCAACTGAGCTTGTGTTAATCGAATGTCGAATCTGCTTGCCAGTTGTCGTTAAATTAAACTTGTCACATATAATTAACATAGTGTGGTTTACTTCTCTCGTATAGTTAACAAATTATTATATAATAGTGTAATTTTACGCATATATTATTGGCTGCAATTTATTCATCAAGAAAAGTAGACATCTATGTCAAATGGAAATTCAATAGGTCCCATAGGTTAATATACATTGATTTGATGGAATAAGTGCAAGAACATTCAAAACATTAATTAATCATGTATAAATTGGATAGCACTTATGTTTGAAAATGTTAGATGTGACACTGCATATAAATGCAAATGTTAAGTAGTCATTTGAAATGGGCTGAATTCGAAAATTCCAATTTTTTTTTTATTCATATGTAACTTAAAAGATGTAATAGTATGTATAATTTTGGTATAATAATCTGAAATAAAATCGGATCGAATCAGGGATCTAATGTGTATAACAATTCCGCTTTTAAGAAAATTCGGAAAATCGAAAAATGAGATGATCATAATTCATAATGAAATATATTTCTAAAATTTAATAAATAAAAAAAACATGGGAAAAGTTTTGTTCCGATTACTAGTTTGTCTTTACGAATGGACAAGAATACGAAAATGGACCATGGTCTATTATGCAGTTTGATACTTTGACTTTGACTTTGACTTGACTATTCAACATTTCGTATTCAATATTTTTGAAATCGTGATATTTAGTGGAACATCGGAAATTACATTATTTGTAGATGATAAAATTGAAAATTAAAATGGATACAAGGAAATATAATTAGCATTTTTAATTATCTTTTTTTAAGTTAAAACAACTTTAATGAAGAAATTGGGCCGGTTAATAATTAAAAAAAAGGATCGAAATCCCATATAATTGGATTTGGGCCATTTGCTTGTTTGTTTCTTACCCAACTAAATGGACCGGTTAAATTGCAACGGCCCAAGTCTAATATCGCAAATATTCTTGAATTATTTTTTTAATTTTTTTTTTTTTTATGATAAGAAAATATACATGAATAGCTTATAAGCAAAATTTGGACACTTACAACTTTTTATTTGTTTACAAAATAAAACACTTTCGAATAAACAAAATAACTGATCTCATCCGTTGGATCGAGGTGTTACATCATGTTGATTGATCTCTCATTTAAATACATATCTCTCAAATCTCTTCTCTTTTGCCCGTTTGATTCCCAGAACCCTTATGCTCTCCTCATCTACTCCTTATGTCTTCTTGTTCTATGTCAACCTTGGTCAAACTTCGGCGGTACCCGATAGTCTTCGACTCAAGCATTGGTCCATTCACCGGCGAACTTTGACTCGAGTCCCTATCTAGAGCATGAGATGGATTGATGGAGAGTCAGATCTAGAGACAACCCTAAACACACGAACTTTGCCCTGAATTATACACTCTCTATTTAATTTTTATTTGTAATCTATTAGTTACTGCATTTTCATACCTCTAATTTTCAAATTTATACACTTTAGTCCATTTAATAAAAAAAAAAAAAAAAAAAAAAAAAGGAAAAGTGTTCTATTAAATTACCTCATATTCTAGCCCCTAAATGAAGTGTAAGATGAGGTGCCAGAATTGCTAACAAGGCGACAGCACACATAAAACAGTCGCAAGATTCATGCACACACACACACACACTACACGTACCATATTCATGCAAATGCTAATTAATAAATTAAATACTACAATAATTTAATTTTCTAGTGCACTATGTATAAATTTCTGTGCAATAAATGTGTGAATGTCCAAACTTGTGTGCAAAGCTATAAATAAAAAAAATGTAAGAAAACTGACACAGAAGAGTATGATATGATTTGATGAGAAAAATAAGGATAGTTCACATCTGGACTGGAAATATATGTTCAAAGTAAAACTTGGCTCTGACTGTACTGACACCTGCTGCTAAAGTCTTACATCTCTCCCCATGTGCACTTCACCCACATGATCTATTATTTCTTCCATATATATATATATATATATATATATATATATATATATATATATTGGGTAAATTACAAACACCCCTGAGGTATGGTCAAATTACAAAAACCCCCTCTTGTTTGGATAATTACATCTACCCCTCAACTATGATTTTTTCTTAGACCTGCACCTTTATGGTGCCAAATTCAACATAGTCATCTAGATTCCGTGAAATGTGCTCTAGTTTGTACTCTTTTTGTGTAAAAAATACAGCTTCCGATGCACCACAAACTGATATATACAAGCTAAAAATCACATATTATGATCATCTTGCTTCATAATGTAGAGTTTCAATGGGATAAAACGGGTACAAAAGTGATAATATTCCATATAATCTCGAAGATTCCACTAAATTTGATGAGTTGAGGGGGTGGTTGTAATTATCCAAACAAGAGGGGTGTTTTTGTAATTTGACCATACCTCAGGGGGTGTTTGTAATTTACCCATATATATTTGATGGAGTATTTCATGGTTCAAAAAACAAAAAATGATTTTGTTTTTGAAACTTTTGGTTTTAAAAATAGTGATGTAAGTAGTTGGCAATGTCACGTCTAGGGCTGGACTCGGAATGAAATTTCCGATTTTCGTTGAATCCGATTCGAAGAATTCTGATTTTGGAACGATTTTTTCAATTGCGAATCCCGAAAGTCTTGCGAAAAAAATTGGATAGGAATTGGGAATACATATCAACATTTTCGAATTTGCGAATTTCGATCCGAAATAGTTCTGAAAAAAAAAATTCCAATTTTCGAAGAAATCAGAATCGGAATCTATTCTGGAATTCCAAAAAGAAAAAATCGAAAAATTTCCGAAAGGGTCAAATACGATCTGATTCGTTCGATTTTCATCCCTAGTCACGGCGCATTGAAAGAGTATTCGCTCGATAAAACCGCATCTTTATAAATTTTGGTAGCAAATAAATTGGTACAGAGTGGAAATTTGTAATGAATAGTGGAAATTTTTGTATGAAAATATTAAGAAATATAATAATTAATATGTTTCAATTTTTACTACGAAATTTTGCCGAAATTTCAATTCGGTACGATTCGATCGATTTACGGATCATCAATAAACATCATTACTGGGAAAATATCTTTTTAGAAGATAACTTTTGTTTTAAGAAAAAAAAAACATATATACCCAATGTCATTTTCAATAGGTTATAACATGAATAGTTGTTGAGTAATAGTGAGAGAATATAGTTAATTAATCAATTAATTAATTAAATAGAGAACATAAAACGCTTAGCTGTTAAATGAAATTAGCCCTTAATTAAAAAGTTGAATTCTAACTATTTCGATCCAACAAATTATTATTAAATTGAAAAATTATTAAATATGGATGGGAATTGTCTTTCTTTAATCAGTCAACAAAATTGAGCATGTAAGGTGTCGGTCCTTTTTATTTCACCAATTTTTGCACTTTTTATAGGATTCTTTTTCCACACATAGTTTGACTTTTGTTTCTTGGTGGGTTTGACTTTTTTTTTTTTTTCATTTTAGCAATTTCCAAATAGTTTATCTCTTAGATGGGACCCAATTGAAAACGTGTGTACAAGATTTCTTGGTTACTTGAAAGTTTTTCGTATTGTGGTTGACCCCCCATTGGCCAATTTTGACTCAAAAGTATCATATCTTCTTCTTTTTTTAATTACAACAATCTCCATGAAGAATGTGTAATTATAAGAAAAGATCCTTTTTTTGAGAAATTACATCTAACCCTCTACGGTTTGTTAACTTCTTACCGCTACCTTTTACAAAAGGGTCTTAATGTAAGAAATCTATAAATTGCAGGGGATAAGTGTAATTATCGAAAAATAAGGGTTTTTTTTTTTCTTTTTTTTCTAAATAGTCCTTATCTTTGAGGTTGATTGTAATTTACCATTTTTTTCTCCTTTATAAAGGAAAATAGATGTGCACTGTGTTAATTCGAGACTTCGAGTCTCGTGTAACAGCTTACAAATCACACGAAAATGTATATTATATTGTTGAATATTGATTTGCAGAGATAATTAGGGAAATCGGAAAATCCTCATTAATTAGCTTAAGGGATAAAATGTGGAGCCAAAGACTATACATAATAGAGATTTTGTCCTTACTTTTTAATTATGCACTTAGAGAGGTAAGTTTGTCTAATTTCACTTAAGGATGCAATATACTTAAAATTCAGTTAATGGTTTGCATGTGCAATGAAAAAGCTTTTTCTTGTGATTTCCAATGATTAAGGATGGATTAGATCATAATTAGGATTAATCATTTTAGAAGCAAATTAATACACTTTATTGACAAATTTATTTACCAGCACTAGTTTTTATCAGTGTTCTAAATATCGGTCGTGGCGGCCGATATATCGGCCGCCATATCGGTATCGGTTATAAACCTTTACGATTTTGTTGAGGCGGTTTGGAATATCGGTTTTTTACGGCGAGGCGGTTTGCGGCGGTTTTTTGGTGGGTCAAACCGATATATCGGTCAACAAATCGGTTTTTTTTTTTTTTTTTTTTTTTTAATTTAAATTAAAATAAAAATATGTTTTGATTTTTTGTTTTTCTCCAATTTTTTCAACTTCCAAAACCAAACCAAGTACTACCCCGCAATTTATGCTTTGTTGTGTTTATATTAATTGTTGATGCGAAAGACTTGCGTGGTATTTGTATTTCGTTAGAATCTTTTATTATATTATGATCTTATTATTTTTAAATTTTTGTTATTTATTGAGTAATTAGAATTATATAATAACATATGAATGATAGGATAGAATTATGTTTAAATATTTTTTTATATATATTTTGAGTATTTACAAATATTTTTTTAGAAATATATTACACTAAATTTAAAAATCGATATATTTCCGATTTATCTCCGATAAATCACCGCCGCGCCGATTTATCGTGTGGCGGTCCCAAACCGCCACGTACCCGATAACCGCCTTTTAGAACCTTGGTTTTTATCCAAAGTGATTGCTTCATATGTGATTTTTAACTGTTGATCTTCACATACCAATGTGGGTGTGTGTGTGTGTTTTTTTGTCTATATGAATGGTAAAGATGTACCTGGTGTATATTACCCGGTGTAGCATAGAATATACCATTTTTTAATCTTTATGTAAGAAATTGAGATTCGAGAATTGTTGGGGAGTTATGACCCCCTCTGGGCCTATGCTGGCTCCACCACTAGACTTATGTACAAGAAAAGTCTCCATGTTTTACTTGTGTGAATGATGGACTATAATCCTACTAAAAGAACAAAAGATGTTATCATTTGATTTATGGATTCAATCATGATAACAATTCAAATATAGATGGAACAAAAGTGGGGGGAATAAGCAAAAAAAGTTGTTAAGCAATGATTTTCACAATAATATCTTTAGTGAATAAATAATTAAAAAAAAAAAAAGTTAGGTATTTAGGCAATCTATCACTATCATCTTTGCAATTTGTCATCAAATGAAAAAAGAAATCCAAAAAAATCCCATACAAACTAAGAACTCACCAAAGTGCACATTTCAAATTTCTTCACTACTTTACTAGATGATGACAACCATCCTTTAGTCACTAAACAAATCTATCACCAATATTTCTATATACCTAAAAAATTAAACACGACTTAAAACAGTGGCGGAGCCAGTATACAATACGAACAACAGGGGGCCATAGCCCCCCCGGAAAAAGAAAAAATCACGGCTCTAATATTGTAACCGGTTGAACTGCACTTGATCTTGAACCCTTTAAAGAAAAGAATGATCTTTTAATTGATCTGCTGCTGCTGCTACTGCTGCATACTTCATTAGGAGGATAATTAACTTGGTAATTATTTAAATCTTGTAATAATTGTCCCTTAATTATTTCTTGCACGGCTAAGTAAAGGTGATTATCAGCTGCCGAATCCATCGAGAAAGACCTCCTCATTGGCTGATTAACCACAAATTGCTCGTCTTTTTCCCGATTATCGATCCACTCGTCTCCCATGCTCCAAACATGGCTTAGTTTTTTCGATTTTTTTCTCGATAAAATCTTCGGCGAATGACTAATAACAATACTATTATTAGCATTCGTTAAAAGCCCGTCTGAGCCCGTTCTTTCTCTTTCGGGTATTACGGGCCGAGATGACGGGCTCGACGATTCTCGTCCGATTTCGATCACCACGTCGTCGTTCGTAAAAATCGGATCTTGATTTTCTTGGAAAGTGTAATTGGTATAATTGGATGAAATGCTTGTTCTGCAGAGTGGGCAGTTGGCGTTGTTTTGGAGCCAGACGTCGATGCAATCGATGTGGAAGAGATGGCGGCAGTTCGGGATTATTCGGAGCTTTTCGTCTTCTTGAAATTCGTTCAGACACACGGCGCAATCGATATCGCAGTTTGTCTTGATTATTGCTGCATTATTGTTGTTGTTGTTAATGATTGAAGCAGCTTTTTTTTTGAATTTGAATACGGGTATGGATCGAATGGCGGATTCGGTGAGGCCCCGGTTCGCGGCGGCGGCCGCCGGAGAACGAGCGGTTGGGGAGGTGGCGTCGACGCGCCGCCGTCTGGAGAAGGAGAACCGCCGGAGAAGGTCGATCCTGTGCCAGTTCAAGCAGCACTTGATCACGAAGACGTAGTAGCCGACGAGGAGGAAGCCGGTGGCGATGATTCCGATGATGGCGACTGCTATGATGGGGAAGCTGGCGTGGGAGGAGTGCGGCGGCGGCGGCGGTGGCGGCGCTGGGTGGAATATTTTCCGGCCCGAAAATGTATCCATTTTTATTTTGGAGAAAATTGTTCTTTTGTGAACGTATCGGGGTTTAATTTTGTGATGAGATCTTATATCGAGATATTGATCACCGGAGATGGTGAGCAGCATGAAACTCCATTGGAGACGACAATGGCGGAAACCGGGTCGACCCGTTTCGAGATTGGGAGAATCGAACCGGGCCGGATTGCGAAAGAGATAATTTTGTTTGAAAGAAGGTTTGGATTATAAATGGCTTTGAGGTGTTGGAGAAGAAAGCTAAAGGAGAGAGAGAGAGTAAGGTGAGAAAACAGAGGAAAAAATTGTACATAGTTGGTGAATATCACGGCGTCCAATGAGGAAATATGTTTTTTTTTTGGTTGCCAAATAAATTAAAATACTACCAATTGTGATTAAAAAAAATATATGTATATATATATTTTGTGATATCTTATTAAAAAATGTAAGTTTTATAAGCAAAAAATAGGAAATAAGCTCTTGAATTACATAAAATTATATAATTATAATTCATTTTTAACTTTTTTTTTTTAATGTCATGAGCCTCTTGACGGTAAAGAAAACGTGATATAAACGGAGACGAACACAATTTGATGATCCGTATTTGCTTATTGAGTTCAGTTCAATTGGAGAGTTTAGTTAGCAGATCATGATCTATGTTTTTTGGTTGAGAGTTTAGTGAATGATTGGGTAAAATTTATTGGGCGTAGTATGTAACTTTGGCGAGAAGCGTGTTTATTTCAAAAAAAGAAAAAGTGTCTCGTATATGTGTAAGTAGTTTAGATAGTGAAGATGAATCTTTGAATGATTCCCATGTTCATTTACTGCTCGTTCGGCTACTGGTATAAGGTTTTGCTGACTAAATACTAGGGGTTAGTAACATGTTCGGTTGTCAAGATTCACACTTCTTCAATCTCACTACTAAATACTATTATTTCATTAATTTAATATAGAATGACTAAACAAGTAAAATACTATTTCATTCTTCAAACTACATGTTAATTTTATCAAACATAAGGTTTTATCGATAAATTCCATATAATATCAGAACATAACATTTTTTATACGAGATCTAATTCAATGAACCGACCGTCTTACTTACTAAATAACTAACTAGTCAGTAGAGAATGAATCCAATCTGGTCTAACTCAAGCTAATGTGATATACAATAAAAATTTAATTGCCATATTTATGTGTTTGAGCTAATATTTAAAGAAACACTATCATGTAGTAGCTAATTTATTAAGGAAAGGATAATAGGTATAGAGTGGGCAATAAGTCCACCGTCCACAATTCTGGTTGATGTCAACATATATGGGCACAGATGAATGTGATTTCTGTTTGTTGCAATTTCATTTAGTGGTCCAATTAATTTATTTTTTTGACCATAAAACAATTTATTAAGATTTTTTTTTGTGAAAAAAATATAACATTGTATCCACATATATATTATTGATAAATTTTAATTAACATTACACTTATGTATACGCTATGTAGTAGATAGACTTCCAACTTCTTAATGTTTTCGCGTATCGGGTACGTTTTGTGTCTGGCACCCGAGGACACCTGTTGGACACCTTATGGGTCATTTTGCAATTTCTAGAAAGTTCAAAATATGTTTGAATAGCAAATTTTCAGATGTTTTTGTCGCTTCCCTAATTATTCATACGATTTAATGATCAATTGCAAACTGATAGTTGATAGTAAAATTTATTTTGAATATATGTCGTGCGCAGCGGCGAAGCCAGGATTTCTTCACTGGAGCGGCCGAATATGCATTAAAAAATAACGTAAAAAAATTAATGAAAACAATGATTGTTCTAACACTGATGAATCTAAGATGTTGCTACATGGTTGACTTAATTTTTTGGGGGTTAAAGGGCTGCGCCCCCGAAAAAAATTCGGATTTTTTGTTACAAAACCAGAAGATAGGAAAAGAAAAATATAATACTTTTTTTTGCATTTATTTGGATTTTAGGTGCACTAAATAATAAAAAAATGGTGGACTTAATAGATATAAAGATGAAATATACTGGAGATTTTTATAGTTGAGGATGACTTGAGTCCATCACTTCCCGATAGTGGATTCCAAGTCACAATTCGTACTTAATTATTCTACTTGTTAGATCTATTTATTATAGGATGACAATTCAACGGCAAAAAAACTATAAATAGATATATAGTATTAAAAAAAATTAAAATTTGAGGGGGGCCGTGGGCCCGTGGCCACCCCTGGCCCTACAGTGACTTCCCCACTGGTCGTGTGAAAATATATAAAAATAATTTACATATAAAAAAAATTATATTTATATAGAATATTCATAAATACATCGCTATAATTTTAATATTTACACGTTTTCCGCAAGCTCCCATGTCTCTATTTTTCGGATATATACCGTTTCCCATGTCCGTTTCCATGTCTTCCCGTATCATCGTTTCCGTGTCCGTACTACATATAAGGTACGCGTCATCCAATATAACACCAAGAAGGGGAAAAAAAACTCACCTATAATGTAATTGGAAGAATGACATATTACCAAACTTGAGGAAATTGGTAATAAAAGGAAGAGTTATTGTGAAAAGGTTTTCCAGGCTGGAAAATGATTATTCCCTAACCTAGTAATCTATTGATGAACCCATAAAGATAAGCTACCAAACTCACTTATCAATTATCATCCATTTTAAGGTCCATTATGGCATTATGGAGATCGAAAAAAAAGAAGGAAAACTCTAGTATTTGTGTTACGTTTTTGCTCTCACTGAAGCAAGCATTTATAATTTAACGGTCGTCGACAGATAAATCGCCTAAAAGTCAAAGTCAATCATGGTTGGTGACGTTTGATTCAAATATCGCCGGAAGAAGACAAATAAAGTCGGCAGAAGAACGGGGGTACATAAGGGGGGCATAGAGAGTCGAGTAGAAGAAGCAAATACATATACTAAAAACACTTTCGAAAATAACTATATGTGGTATTTGATATCCATATCCTTTTGTTTTTATACATCTAACTTGTTTTTGTATTGGTATTTTAATTTTTAGCTATTAAAGTGTGTTTAATGTTAGTAGTTAGTTCTCTAATGAATTTGGATTAATTAATGGGCTTGGCACGTGGGTCTAATGGGCTTGGTACGTGGGCCTTCACCTACAATAACAAATATATTTATTATAATACAATAAAATATTATTTTATTTTTCAAATTTTCTTTCATGTAAAATATCTCTTCTCAAAATCATAAAAATAAAACATTACTTTTTGTTACAAATTGGTCTCCCATAACATAAATGGCCCCAATGCTAGGCCACATAACCTTATTATAAAACAAAGTTTAATAAATTATATTCATATTTATTTGTTACTTGAACATTAACTAACATGTGGAAGATAATTTTAGTTCAAATTGAACTACAATCTTATGGTTGAAAATGAGTGAGGCCAATATTTTATTTGCTTGGAAGGGTTTTTTTTTCCATGCCTCATCATTATTTCAAAGGGCATTTATTATAATTGAAAGAATGTTACTATTATTATTTTTGAATTAAAAAACAATGTTAATTAATTGTACTGAAAAAATAATCATATTTGAGAGGAATTTTTTTTCCCAGAAGTTTTCTATGCAAAAATCTACTATTTTTTTGTGGTGAACTGATTTTTAGGGTGTTTGACCAAACGTTATGTTTGGATTCGTTTTGAGAGTTATTTTTACTTTATTTTGGGGAAATATGTTTGAGGGAATAATTTGACAATAAGGTAATGTTTTGCTTATATTTTGGGATGGGACAAGATACATTGTGGCAGTTAAATCTAGGGCTGTGCATTAGTTGGGTTGGATAAAAATTAGCCATAAACCCTAGGGCTGTGCATGGATCGGTTTTAACCACCAACCAACCCATTTTCGACCCACAATTTGTGATGGTTAATCAACCATCAACCGACCCATTTAAGTTGGGTCGATAATGGTTTCTAAAATGCTAAAAAGTTGGTTAGTCGGTTAATATCGGCCAACCAACTTTATTCATTAATTTATTATTTATTAATTTTAATTAAAATATTTAATACTTTTAATTTCAAATTTCTGTTATATATCACATTTATTAAATTGTCTAATATTGACCAAAATCCTAAAAGCAATAAATCTAACCTAATTATCTAATTTGAACTATTTTAATTTGAAGACATATAGTCTAAATATTTGGACGATTATTATTTGTTGAACTATTTATGTTTAATTGCAATATATATGACCGTAATGTTTTGAATCTTTTATTTGAATATTGTTGAACTAGTCGCATTTAATTTATAACAGATATAGCGTTGTAACAAGTAATAAAATATTAAAAAAAATTAAAAAATATTTAGATAGATGACCCATCAACCAAACCACCAACCAACCCATTAAATTGGTTTTCAACCATCACCCAACCCATATAAATTGGGTCGATAACGGTTTCCAATATTGACCAAAGTTGGTTGGATGGGTTGGATTGGTTTTATAACTGGTTTTTAACCAAACCAACCAACGCACAACCCTAATAAACCCAACCTAACCCATCAAACCAACTTTGATCAATATTGAAAAGCGTTATCGACCCAATTTACATGGGTTGGGTGATGATTGATAACCAATTTAGCGGGTCGATTGGTGGTTTGGTTGATGGGTCATCCATCTAAATATTTTTTAATTTTATTTAATATTTTATTAGTTGTTACAACACTATATCTTTATAAATTAAATGACTAGTTCAATAATATTCAAATAAAAAATTAAAAACATTACGGGCCATATATATTGCAATTAAACATAAATAGTTCAACAAATAATAATCGTACAAATATTTAGGCTATATGTCTTAAAATTAAAATAGTTCAAAATAGATACTTAGGTTAGATTTATTGCTTTTAGGATTTTGGTCAATATTAAACAATTTAATAAATGTGATATAAAATAGAAATTTAAAATTAAAAATACAAACATTTTAAATAAAATTAATAAATAATAAATTAATAGATAAAATTGGTTGGCCGATATTACCCGACTAACCAACTTTATAGCATATTGGAAACCATTATCGACCCAACTATACATTGGTTGGTTGAGATTATCGACCCAACTTAAATGGGATGGTTGATTATCCGTCACAAATTATAGATCGAAAATAGATTGGTTGGTGGTTAAAATCGATCAATGCACAGTCCTAGTTAAATTATGTTTAAATGTGTTGGAAAATAAAGTATTTTATAAGACAAAAATTAAAAATCAATAATTTTTTTTGTTTATTAGTAATTTTTTTTTTTTACTATAGGAATCAAATATTTTTACAGTAGCAATCAAATGCACGGAACAAACATAAACTTTTGAAAATATTAACAAACATAAATTCATTTTCAGGAAATAATAAAAACGAGATGAAAACTGCACCAAATATAGCCTAGTATGTGAATGAAACATAAATATTAAAGAAACTTATTTTATTTATTTATTAAATCATGTATAATCAAATCAAATGTCACACATCCAGCTTTCAACGCTTGTCAGAAAAAAAATTAAAATAAATAATAGCTGCTTGCCTGCTGCCTTTGCAACTTGCTAATTTCGCTATTTTCAATAACTGAAATGCTAATTGTAGCGGGACTTTTACTGAAATTGACTTATTTGCAGCGGTAGTCTCATTTCAGTATTTTCTAACTTTCTAAAAAAACCGAAACGCTCTCAACTAAAAAAAATCGAAAACTTAGAATTTGAAGCTCGTTCGACAAATTCAAAAACGAACAACGATTTCTTCAATGGCTGATTCGAATAACTTTTATATGGTAAAAAGAAAGAAAAAAAAAAATAAAAGTTGGTTTAATCGTGCTATACAGCACGAGGAGTATCAAAAAAGGGGAAAAGATTGAGTTACCCGTGCTGTACAGCACGGGAACTTGGGTTTCAATTTTCTTTTTTTTTTTTTTTTTTTTTTGTATTATTAATGTTTATATTCCTTTATATTATCCAGAAAACGGGAGATTCAAAATGATGATGCTGATTTTGACGAAAATTCTAGAGAGTGTTTGGAATAGGAGAGAGAAATTGAAAAAAAAAATTTAAATGAAAAAGGTACCGCTGCAAATAAGCCAATTTCAGTAAAAGTCCCACTGCAAATAGCAAAACCCTTTCAATAATTGCTTTGACCATTTCATCCACGTGTCCTCTTCTCATTGGCTCTGTTCCTAACCTCTAAATCCCCAAATCCTTTCTTCTTTCTCCCCCAAATCAGAGAAATTCCTTACCATTCGATCGCCATCAACATTTAAAATTCCCACCTCCTGAATCCAACGATTGTTCTTTTGTCGATTTTGAAATTAGGTTTAGAAAATGAATCACCACCACGTTCACGTGGAGTCTTTCGATGAGAATTGCTGGTGTGATTTGCTCGATTACAGCAGCCTGTTGGACGACGTCGTTCCGTCGGCCGATCTTAGTCGGAATCCTCCTCCGCCGCCGCAGCATACGCAAAAGTGAGTGTCGGAATTTAATTTTACATTTTTTTTTCCTGAAGGATTTAGTTTTCCGGGTTTGAAATTGAGCCAGTGTTGCAACATTTCTCAAAAAAAAATGTTTTTGTTAATTTTTAATTGAATTTTGGTGTGACACAGCTAGATCGTAATTGATGCTGGAATTTTTCCTATGAGATGTAGATTAGTTGATTTTTGTATTTTATTTTATTTTTATCAAAAAATAAAGGCTTTTTGTTTATATTGATCGTGTTATAATGACTTATTGCAGTGTTGGTATGGCAACGGATGTTTCGATCAGCGAAACTTCATCGCAAGTAAGCGAATGTGCAGAGAGAGAATTTCGGAGAAAGAGGTAAAAATCGTGGAATTATCTTAGGCATAGCCCATGTTTCAATAGATATTGAATTCAATAGAGATGAATGATTTGAGTAGGTTCGAAACATCAGACAAGTTAAAAAAATGAGTACGAGCATAATAACGCGTAGGACTACGCAGAACATTACATAGATTTGCGTACTCTGTATTTTGTGATCTATGCATGATAGAGGATAAGTTGATCGATTCGAGTAGTATTTCTGTAAGCATCTGCTTTCTGTTAGATTTAGGACCAAAGTATGAGTAAATAGGTATACTGTTT